CGGTTATCGAGCGGGGCGCCTCACGGCCGGCAGACGACACCCGCATCGATTGTAGTGCCACTATGCCTTGGACAGGAGCCAGGCGGGACAGGGGCCGCCGCCGTGAGCTGCGGGGGAGCCGAGGAACGAGAGAGGGGGAGGGAGGGCTCGGAGCTGGGAGCTCGGAGCTCGGAGCTCGGAGCCAGCACCTGAGAGTGGCCTGGCGGGAGAAGGAGCCGAGGGCACGAAGCCGCCAGCTGCCAGACTGAGAGCTGCGTGTCACTGCAGACTCTTGTCACATATTTGGTTAATCTGAAAAGGTTCGTAACCGGCAGATTGGGACGGGGACAGAGAGCGACCAAAAACTGGTCGAGACTTGCATCTGAACACCTCAGTGACGTCTGTGAAACAGTCAATTCCAGATCATGCCAGATAGGCGTTATAGGGTCGGTCGGTGCTACCCTTGATGTCGTTGGCTGTTAAACTTTTGCTACGCGATACAGTTTGATCAACTGACCTCAGTTAAGATTCTCTGGACCACGAGATCCGTCACGGAGTCCCAGTGATGAACGAATGTTTAACTGCGGCATGTGCAGTCAGCTGTGAGCGGCGCAATTTTACGACAATAATCACACGAGCTTACCATAATGTCGTATCATGCTGTTAATTTCAGCCTCTTACGAAAATATGGTCCTTATACTTCTATTACGTCACATACAGAAGCGTGCTTTGATTGACGTGAAGCCGGTAATAGCTATAGTAGACAGTTTAGATGTGTTAAGATGTGTATGACATGAATTTATTCACTTTGATCCTAGAAGCTTTCTAAATGTTGTAATCACGGAAAGAATGTGGCCTCCAACGTCATCCGATGACGCATAGGTCAGCAGATTGCATTTACTCGGCGATAAACGTGCCGGGGCTAACGACTGGAGTTTTGGGTCAGCGCAATCGGTTGAGTGTATACGAAGAGCGAGTGTATGCGAAGAACGAGGCCGAGTGTATACGAAGACCTAGTGAATGCGAAGATCAAGTGTATACGAAGACCGAGTATACACAGATACCGAGTGTACACGGAGCTCGAGTGTCTACGAAGAACGGGTGTTATACGAAAACCGAGTGTACACGGAGACTGAGTGTATACAAAGACCGAGTGCGCACGGAGACTGAGTGTGCATGAAGAGTGTATAGTGTATATGGAGACGACATGTATATGGAGGCCGTACGGCACGCATGGGTGGCGTACCCTAGTGAGTGTCAAGTTACGTTGGGGTCATAGCCGTGGCGTGCTCACTGGGACTGTGGCTCGTATCGCCATGAAGCCATCGAATGGCAGGCTGTTGCGACACATGCCGTGCCGCCTGCCCTTGCGCCATGCTCAGCCGGGCACGGCGCGGCCGCCCCCTATGTGGCGCGGTCACGACCGGCGCCAACCCCCAGCCCCTCCCCCCTCATCGGCGGAGAGTTTGCACCGGTACCCCGTAAAACGACTGTGCGCCTGGAAAATCAGAGGTGTGGGCTTGATTGCACGTGGTGCCCGCCCTTACTCTCAGGGTGAGAGGCAGACGGTGCATATAGCCTCAGCAGCCGAGTGTGCCGTAAAGCCCCAATGATCACGACACGTCACGCCCTTTGTAATCATTCATTTCAAACCCTCCGTCAGACCATTGTAATCTATCAAAATCACCGCGCATTGCATCTTTGGAGCCACTAGTGAAGTGCTCAGCGGTTGTGGTTATTTGGTTAGTTCCCATTGGACCATTTCTCGCAAAGAGAGAGTTGGCCGGTGGGCGTTCGCTCAGGTGCGTGTCCCTGCGCCGGCGCGTGTCCCTGTCCGTATCCCCGTGTCCCTGCGCCGGCGCCGGGCGCGGCCGCCTCCCATCAGACATCGGCCCGCTCTGGCCGGCCACAGGCTCTGGACACCCTGCCGCCTGTGACCGCGGTCCTGACGCCCCCTGACTGAGCTGCCCGTCAGACATCGGCCCGCTCTGGCCGGTCACAGGCTCTGGACACCCTGCCGCCTGTGACCGCGGGCCTGACGCCCCCCCCCCCCCTCCCCGCCCTCTGACTGAGCCTCTCGTCAGACATCGACCCGTCTCTGGCGGTCTGTTTGTCCGTCTCGCTCCGCCCGTCCGTCTGTTCGTTCGTCTGTCGGTCGACGCGTTTGTGTCCCGCGTCTCCGCCGGCCGCGTGCGAGCCATCACCGGCTGGGCTCAACTGACGTCAGCACTGGCCACTCAGTGCCGGCGCATTCGGTGCAGGCCGGCCTGACCTTGCACCAGCGTCGCCAGCCTGGCACGGCGTCGACACCACCGGGCCTCTCTCAGCACCAACCCGTGGGCTGTCGGGACGGCGGCAGCAGATCTTGCATCTCCAGTGCGTGTCACCACCCAATGCCGCCCACAGTCAGGGCTGCTGGACGGGACCCGTCCGCCGCTAAGTACCGAGTGATCGATAGGCACCGCCCGCCGCACCGTCGTCTTCAGCTGCATGCTGTGTTCGCTGCGTGACGGGCCATGCGGTGACAGCGCGACATTGCGGTATAGACTTGGCGCTGCTGGCTTATGCACAGCATGCCGTGGGTTTACGTCACATGGCTCCGCGGTCGGGTTTGGCCGCACAGTCACACCCGTAACGTGGGCGACATGCCACCCGCCTGGAAATCAGAGGCCGGTTCTCTCCCGTGCGGTGCATGTAGGCCTGGTTGGCGTTTGGAGCGGCAGCATAGGATCGGTCCCGTAAAGCCAGAGCAACGCTGGAAACCGTGCGCTCGCCGGGGACTAATGGCGAAACGCGGTTCACAAGCCATTAGTGGGCATCGGTTCCCAGGTGTGTGGGAGTCCACGTGCTTCTTGGGAGTGGGCGGCGGTGGGGAGGGGCCGAGTGGGGGCGTTGAGGAGAACATGGGCGCTGCTGGTCATTGACCGCATACATTTCTCATATATCTGTTGCGAGTTCCATTTAAGTGTCGATGGCATGCAGATCGATGGCTACTTCGAAGTTGGACAATGCGATGCGGTTATGCCATGTTTGAAACCGCTTGATATAACACAAAATGCAGGGAATGTGCCCCCCCCTCCCTCCCCCAACAGCTGTACAAAAATGCTGCTAAGCTATAGGATGTCTGCAAGGCACAAAATGTGACCAACACCCTCTGCATCCGCGAATCATTTTGTTTGTTCGCGGCAGAACATCTCCGTACTTCCTCGTTACATTAACTGGCTCAAATGCCAGGCGGCATGCGGAAAACTCGTCCTCTTGGCTGCAGCAGACAGGCGCCGGCCGCTGCAGCAGACAGGCGCCGGCCGCTGCGTCAGCTCAAGCGCCGGCCGCTGCGTCAGTTCAGGCGCCGGCCGCTGCGTCAGTTCAGGCGCCGGCCGCTGCGTCAGTTCAGGCCTTGGCCGCTGCGTCAGTTCAGGCCTTGGCCGCTGCGTCAGTTCAGGCCTTGGCCGCTGCGTCAGTTCAGGTGCCGGCCGCTGCGTCAGTTCAGACGCCGGCCGCTGCGTCAGTTCAGGCGCCTGCTCGGCCTGAGGTCGACAGAAACGCATGCTCATCGGCCCCGCGCCGGGCTGTCCGGCCCCACATTTCACTGACTCCCATCGAAGTGGCCGGCGGTAGCGGCCGCCGTGACCCGAGCAGTGGACGGGCTTGAAACGTAGCTTTGGATAGACTTCCGCTCGTTGACTTCCGTTTTGAAGAAATAGGGTAACTATTCAGGTCCTGCGGGACTGTGACGTCACATAGAACCTGCGGTGGGAGTGTGACGTCACATCGAGTCCGATGCTGACGATACACTGCCGCGGGCTGACACGGCCGGTCGCGCTCTGACAATGGGGGCCGGAGGGTGGTGGCCGGAGACTGGTCGGCGCTTTGTTCCGCGACGAGAGAGTTTGGTTGAGAACTCTGACTGTGATAGGGCGCAGTTTCCAACGAAGCCCGTAAGCATTAGGAAGGTTTATCGACGTCTGACACGGAGAGCGCGCCCCCACCTGCCCAGAGTGGCTGGCCAGCAACCGAAAGGCGTGCTCTGTACCCCGCCGCGTCGGAGTGAAAGTCTGCTCAGTTGGCCACTGGGCGTTTCCGGCGCTCATTGGTTGCGAGCGGCGGCCCGCCAGCGTGTGACGTAATTCGCAAATGATTGAATGTTGTTGATCCTTTTATCTTTTTACAGGCTTCCAGTGCGCAGCATTTCTGCACCACATCGTTGCTTTGCATCGTTCGGTTGACTTGTATCTTTACTTGAACATTTGTGGCATGCATTTGTGGCATGCATCAGCACGGCAAACCGTGCAGATGGTTATCGACGATACCGGCGCTGCTCAGACTCAGCCTGACCCGTTGCACGACCGTGCTGTGTCCTGCATTCGTGGCGCGAGGTTCTCCGAGCCTTAAACAATGTGCATAAATCCCATGTCCGTGTCCGGCAGGTGAATGCCTGGGCCGTCACGCCACGGCAGCTGTCCCAGAATATTGCCCGCTGATGATCTTGGTGTGCCGGTAGTATACCGGTACAGTAAAATCGCATCCCACTACCGGTACAGTGTACTGTACCGGTAGTGGGGTGCGGTAGTGTAGTGGTTAGCACGTCTGCGTTAACCACTGCGCGTCTGGGAGACCAGAGGTACGGGGCTCGATTCCCCTCGGTGCCCGTCCTTCCTGCCAGCGTGAGAGGCAGGCGACGCCATATAGCCTCAGCAGCTGAGTGCTTCGTAAAGCCCCAATGACATGGCATGTTCTTGCTGTGATGATCCCACCGCCGGCTTTCCCTATGACGCCACCGTCGCCCGCCGCTGCGATCATACCGCCGACCCCCCCTGCGGTTTCACCTCCCGCCCTCCCCGTGATCCCACCACCGCACATCACTGTAACCCCACCGCCGACCTCCCCTGTGACCCCACCGCCGACCCCCACTGTAACCCCACCGCCAACCCTCACTGTGACCTCACCGCCGGCCTTTCTTGAAACCCCACCGCCGACCCTCCCCGTGACCTCACCCCTGACCGTCTCCATGACGCTCCCAGCAGAATGGAGGCGCCGGCGAGTACGAACGGTGGCGGCGGCACCAACGGCCTGACCGAGGAGGAGCAGGAGCGCCAACGCATGCGGCCTGCTGACGTGGATGCCGACATGCGCGAGATGGCGCGCAGGAAGCGGGTCGAGGCCATTCTCAGCTCCAAAACTTTCAAGGTGAGGAGGCGGCGGCGTGCTGGCCGGCGCTGCCGCCTCTGCAGTGGGCCCCGGCTCGGCGGGTGCGGGGTGGTCCTCTCTCCGCCGCGCGCTCGAGCCCGATCACGACCCATCACTCCCTGGCGATGTGACTGTGGCCTCAGTTGTGGCGCTCACAGTCAGTGGACGATGTTTCTAATAGCCGGATGTCACCGGTTGCGCGGACTCCAGCTCATGATAGCCGCCGCTGGGAGGTATAGTTAACGCTGACGGGGCTCTTTGTTCTGCATCACGGGCGGTTGGAGCCGCCCCACGCTAGCCTAGCTTTCGTGCCGTCCGTGTGGCTTCGGAAGGTAAAAGCTTTTCATTGCCCGGCATGAGGGTGGATTAGGTTGACGTGCACCGGTATGGATAATTGTGCTTCCAGCATGTGTTGATGACACGGTCTGTCCGAGTCATCAAGCGTTTTCACTGCAGTCAGAGCTTGTCACTCGGCGCTTGGGCCAGTGACTGTCTGTTGTTCGAGTGTTCTGCTGCCGAAGCGGGCCGCTCTGTGTTCAGCTGTCAGAGCGGGTTACTCTGTGCTCAGCTGCGCCCTCTGTGCTGACCCGCGAGTCCTGTGTCCTGCAGTCGGAGCTGGCCAGTCTGTGCTGACCTGTGTGTCCTGTGTCCTGCAGTCGGAGCTGGCCAGCCTGTGCTGACCCGCGTGTCCTGTGTCCTTCAGTCGGAGCTGGCCAGTCTGTGCTGACCCGCGTGTCCTGTGTCCTTCAGTCGGAGCTGGCCAGTCTGTGCTGACCCGCGTGTCCTGTGTCCTTCAGTCGTAGCTGGCCAGTCTGTGCTGACCTGTGTGTCCTGTGTCCTTCAGTCGGAGCTGGCCAGTCTGTGCTGACCCGCGTGTCCTGTGTCCTTCAGTCGGAGCTGGCCAGTCTGTGCTGACCTGTGTGTCCTGTGTCCTTCAGTCGGAGCTGGCCAGTCTGTGCTGACCTGTGTGTCCTGTGCCCTGCAGTCGGAGCTGGACCGGCTGGTGGAGACGGGCGTCATCGACGGCAACTCCGTGGGCGGGTGTCTGCAGCAGATCTCGGACATGATGGGCCTGGTCCGCGGTGGGCTCGGCTCTTCACGAGGTCAGCTCGTGCTGCCGGCCGTCCCCCCGGCCACCAGCACGCCATCGACCGCCTCATGTTGGCCGGCGCGCGTGCGGGCTAGATCACGTGCAGCCGCCAGATGGCCAAAGTGGCTAATGTTGGCATCACGCGAGCCGCCGTGGTGTATCACAGTAGTCTTGTGTATTGGTCATAAGGCTCGGCAGGTTCCAGGAGCGATGACAATATCGTTGTGGAGATCTTCTGTAGGATGTATTTGTGACGTGTGGAATGTGGTCAGCTTCATGATTGCGCGGAATCTCGTGCACTACGGTGGTAGCACCTACGCATTAGGAGTTGCTTCAATGCAAAATGAACGTTTTAAGCTACTAATGGCTGTTTTCACGTCCGAGACAGGTGCAGTACTTGCAAAGCAGTTGTTTTTGTTGGCAACATAATATTTTTCCGTTGTTGAAAGACCGTTTTTGAAAGCTGCCTAGACTCGCCGACGTATGCGTTTCGTGACGAAATCTGTAGCTGGCAATGTGGTGTTGTCTGGCTTAATGGTCCATGTGTGACTGGTGTGTTCGTGTATGATTCATCACTCGAAGCTGTCAAAAGGCGCCCGTGGCCGGTAAACGCTCTATTGACTGTCATGTCGCCCGTTTTGGGTGCGGTGGACGGTAGGGCTGGGAGCGTTCAGGTATTCACAGCGCCGCGTCGATTGTCCAGGCGTGTCTATCGTACTCTGGGAGTGACCCAGATCACCGCCGCGGCTCTTCACTGGCGAGTCGCGCCGAGTCGATTCACAGCGCCGAGTCGATTGTTCAGGTCTGTCTGTCGTACTCTGGGAGTGACTCGGGTCCCGCGGCTCTTCACTGGCGAGTCGATTGTCCAGGTCTGTCTGTCGTACTCTGGGAGTGACTCGGGTCACCGCGGCTCGTCACTGGCGAGTCGATTGTCCAGGTCTGTCTGTCGTACTCGGGGAGTGACTCGGGTCCCGTGGCTCGTCACTGGCGAGTCGATTGTTCAGGTCTGTCTGTCGTACTCTGGGAGTGACTGAGGTCACCGCGGCTCGTCACTGGCGAGTCGCCGCGCTGCCCCTGCGGTTGATGACAGCGGTGTATGTGTGTGTGTGTGTGTGACCGGCAGGCACCGACTGCGTGCAGCCGATAGCGGACTTGCGCGGCGCAGAGTCCTCCAAGTTCACCAAGGCGGAGAAGGTGCTGCGCTGCAAGCTGGCCTCGCTGTTCCGCGTCATTGACATGCACGGCTGGGCCGAAGGAATCCACAACCACATCACGGTCAGTGTACTGAGGGCAGGGACGGTTAGTGTCGCAAGAAATCCACAGCCACATCACGGTCAGTGTACTGAGGGTGGGGACGGTTAGCGTCGCAAGAAATCCACAGTCACACCACGGTCAGTGTACTGGGGGCGGGGACGATTAGTGCCGCAAGAAATCCACAGCCACATCACGGTCAGTGTGCTGAGGGCGGGGACGGTTAGTGTCGCGAGAAATCCACAGCCACATCACGGTCAGTGTACTGGGGGCGGGGACGATTAGTGCCGCAAGAAATCCACAGCCACATCACGGTCAGTGTACTGAGGGCGGGGACGGTTAGCGTCGCGAGAAATCCACAGCCACATCACGGTCAGTGTACGGAGGGCGGGACGGTTAGTGTCGCAAGAAATCCACAGCCACATCACGGTCATTGTACTGAGGGCGGGGATGGTTAGTGTCGCGAGAAATCCACAGTCACATCACGGTCAGTGTACTGAGGGCGGGGACGGTTAGTGTCGCAAGAAATCCACAGCCACATCACGGTCAGCTTGAGGCGGAGGAATGGTTAGTGTCGAAAGGAATCCGCAACCACGTCATGGCCAGTTAGAGACGGAGGAACGGTTAGTGTCGCAAGTAGTCCACAACCACATCATGGTCAGTTTGAGGCGGAGGAACGGTTAGCGTTGCAAGCAATCCACAACCACACTTGCGTTAGTGCTCTGAGGACGGGCAGTCATAACCACATGGAGTGAAACTTCCGTTGCTGGACACCCAAGACCACATTCTAGTCAGAAGGTCAAGCGGGGGTGCGCGGCTACCTCCAAGTTACCGTCATTGTGGTAGGGCAGCAGGAGCTTTGACGTCGGCCGGCATGACATGGCTTTAACAACCGAAGTTCGGATCAAATGCGGCGAACCAGCTTGATTGGACGTGGCGCCAATATGCTTGAGGCATGGTCTCCCTCCAGGTTGACCTTAAAACCTACGTGGGGTAACCGGCAAACTGAGGCCAGTCGGTGTAAGCAAGGTACACTTTCATCGTGCCATAGCATGGCGGTGCATTGAAAATATATTTGCAGTCCTTTCTGTCTGCCAGGCCGGAGGAATATACGTCCGATGAGCTCGAAGCGTTTTTTTTTGTGTGTTATGTTCATGGCTGTTCACCAGAATAACCCCTTTTGACAGCAGTTTAGGTAAAATACTGTTTTTAATCAAAACACATCTGCATTGTGAGCTTAAAAATGCGTCCCCCAAACAGCTTGGCTGGGTGGTCCGTTGCTGACCTGACTTATGCGACTTTTGGAATGGAATGGAATGGAATGTTACCGACCTCACGTACCAGTTTCCAACACGTGCGGTGTACCCCACGTGCCGAAAATCGGGTGCATTCCCTGGACCTGGCCTCTGCGTGTGCGCCTGCTCGCCTGACGCCGCCGCTGCTGCTCATCCCCGCAGGTTCGCCTCAGCCAGGAGCCGGATCAGTTCCTGGTGAACCCGTACGGCCTGCTGTACGGCGAGGTGACGGCGTCGGCGCTGCTGACGGCCGACGCGCACGGCGCCTTGCTGCAGCCCGGCTCGACGGGGCTGGGCCTCAGCGCCGGCGCGTTCGGCCGACAGGCGGCCGTGCTGGCTGCGCGGCCCGAGTTGCGTTGCGTGGTGCACGTGCAGCAGCCGGCGGTGGTGGCCGTGTCGGCGCTGCGACTGGGCCTGCTGCCGCTCTCGGAGCCGGCCTGCGTGCTCGGTCCGACGGCGGCGCACCGGCCGCAGCACGGCGCCGCGCAGATCGCCGCCGACCTCGGCCCGCACAGCAAGGTGCTGCTGCTGCAGAACGCCGGCGCGCTCTGCTGCGGCGAGACCGTCGAGGAGGCCTTCTTCCTCGTCTCCCGCCTGGTGGCCGCCTGCGAGACGCAGGTGCGGACGCCGGCCGCTGGGCGGCGCTCGGATGTGGCCGTCGATCCGCCGCTCGAACCGTGATGTGAACAGCTGTGTGAGCCGTCATTTTCTTTGATAGGCCAGCACACGGTCATTTGGAAATGCACCTTACAACTTCGCGAATCCTAAATGCCATGTGTGAACTGTGTTGGTAGTTGAATCGGTACCTGATGTCCTGCTTGTAACTAACGCTGTTGGTGACCTCGCTGGTACGGGTTTTTAAATTGTTTTAACGTGTGGACGACACGTTTGCTACTTTTGCTACTGCTCTCTGGTCGCTGTGCTTTATATGCGAGCTTAATGCTTTTATACTTCGCTCAACATTGAGCAGTTGTAGCCACATTAGTCATCCATCGACTTCACCGCCACTTTTTGTTGACGTCTTGTCCTTTTTCCACCCGCCCATCCGTATTGCTCTCTGATGCTCATCTTGTGCAGCTCTTCTCGTGTATCCGTTCCATTACCCCACCCATCAGCCTGTCCAGTGCACACATGTTGAGGCCACCCAGACTGCCTCACCTTTCCTCTTCTGTCCTCTTGACCTCTCCCATCTATCCTTCCCTCCGCCCTTCCTCCCTCCCTTCCCTCTCCCTTCCCTACCCAACCTCCCTCAACCTCACCCTTCGCTCCCCTCCTCCTCTTTCCCTCTTCCTCCTTTCCTCTCCCTTCTCCTGCCTCCCTTTCCAGTCCTCCCTCCCCCTTCCGTCCTCCCTCCCTTTCCGCTCTTTCTACCCTTTCACTTTCCATTTCTGTCCCGTCAGCCGCCTTCCCGTCCTCCCTGGTACTCTTGTCAGCCCCCGGTTCCCTCACCCGACAACGTACCGGCTGCAGGTGCGCATGCTGCCACTGGGTGTCGACAACCTGGTGATGCTGGACGAGGCGCAGCAGCGGCGCGCCTTCGAGGCGGCTCGGCGACCGCCGCTGGAGGCTGCGGCCGATGCCGAGCGCGGCCAGCTGCCTCAGTGGCGGCTGGGCGAGCTGGAGTTCGAGGCGCTGATGCGCCAGCTGGACAGCGCCGGCCATCGCACCGGCCACGTGTACCGGCATGAGGTGCACCCGGAGACGGCCGGCGCGCAGGGTGATGCTGGCTACTACGCCCTCGACACGGACGACATCTTCAAGTACAGGTGGGCCGCTGACAGTAGAATGTGAGCGGAGGAGTTGTGATGCAACTGAATGAGTCAAACTAGGTTACGTGTAGTCATCAAGGCGCATTACTGTTTGTCCTGGTCCCGGCTTTTCTAGAGGTTGATTGCAGGAACGCATTTGAACAGGAAAGTAGAAAGTGTGTACATTCCATGTAACGTCAAACGTCTAGTCCTTGCCAGTGCGGCCCGTGCGGGTCCGCAAGAGGCCCATGTGGTGATCCTCACTGCGCCGTCGCCGGTGATTAGCCCTGGGCCGATGCTCGGCCTGACCCACATCCTCCGCCTGTGAGACTGGGGACTTTGCCCAAGTCCGTCCGATCTGCGTCTGACCCGACCCACCCCAACCCCAGCCCGATGCGGAAGATGGCGGCCGGCGCTCGGGCTGGCGAGCGCACCCGCTGGCTCAACCAGAAGGTGGAGGTGGTGGAGACGAGCGGCGGCGACGCCAAGACCAAGGTGTCGGTGGTCAAGTTCGACCAGTAGCTGATCAGCTGAGCCGCCGTCGCCTCTGACCGCCGCCGGCCGGCCGGCAGCTGGTCCCCAGCTGGGAGGGGAAGTGGCGTCTCCCACCCGCCGGCGGGAGCGGGAGGCCGCGCGGCTGGCGACGACAACGCCGGCAGCGTGGCTGCGGCCGCCGCCGACCTCTGATTCCACGGCCTTGCGCGGGCCCATGCCGTGCGTGTCTCTGTGTGTGTGTGTGTGTGTGTGCCTGGGACTGAGTGAACGCCGCCGAGGCTGGGCGTGATGTCCCTCTGAGGACGTGTATACAGTGGGCAGCAGCGGGGCCGGGGGTCTCTAACGCCACGCGAGCTCGGGCCGCAGTGCGCTCGCTTCGCCGAGGGCGCGTGCTGTCCGGCACCGTCCGAGGTTTGCATGCCGGCGCAGCTGCGGTTCCTCAGCACGGTCCGGTGGCCTGCCACACCAGCTTTTAGCGGTGCACTGCTGTGCACTCGCCCATCGACGAGCCTTCTTTCGCTGGCTCTGCGCGCATGGTGGTTTTAGTTGGCACTCATTTTCAGCCAGTTATTTTAATATTTTGCTGTTTCATGTACCGGAGGTTACAGTAAAAAATGTTGATATTGCAAGCATGTACTGCTTCGAATAAATGATCTGGGAATCATCCTTCGTGCGTACTGAGTCATACGGTAGTGGTGTGCGCACTCGCTCGAGTCGCTTCTTCACGTCCGTCAGCTCCTCTGAGGGTCACGTGCGTTTTACTCCTAGCTTCGGAGCCATCAGCTGACCGTCCGCCGCTCCCAAACCTGAATCGGCGATGGCCAGGATCTCTCAGAGGTGACATCGACCTGCGTCCAACGAAGCGTTGGAGCTGCCGTCAGACATACCCTAGCTAGCTAGCTAGCTAGCTAGCTAGTAGCTAGTGCAGCCGGGTGGTGGAAGCGTCCAAGGTACATACGCGACGCCTGATCTGCGGCACTGAACGCAGTGACTGTGTATGACACGCCAATAAGCTAGGCTTTCATCTATATCATTTCATGTTTAGAGGTCTCAAATGAAACGATTTGGCCAGGGGAGCTATAATACAGTGATAGTCACAGAATAACTGAGATCATGACATACATTTGCAGAAACTAGAACATACACCATATACAAAACTTATGTACATGAAGCCAACAAACGCCAGAGGTGGCCTCCGGGGAGCCGACTAGAGGATGGGCATCCCCCCCAGCCAAGCACCCCAAGGGACGAGCCTCGCCGTCCCCTGCCCTCTCCACTGAGGAACCGACCAGATGGGCGACCCTCCAGCCAAGCACCCCAAGGGACGAGCCTCGCCGTCCCCTGCCCTCTCCACTGAGGAGCCGACCAGATGGGCGACCCTCCAGCCAAGCACCCCAAGGGACGAGCCTCGCCGTCCCCTGCCCTCTCCACTGAGGAGCCGACCAGAGGATGGGCGGCCCTCCAGCCAAGCACCCCAAGGGACGAGCCTCGCCGTCCCCTGCCCTCTCCACTGAGGAACCGACCAGAGGATGGGCAGCCCTCCAGAGCACCCCAAGGGACGAGCCTCGCCGTCCCCTGCCCTCTCCACTGAGGAACCGACCAGAGGATGGGCAGCCCTCCAGAGCACCCCAAGGGACGAGCCTCACTGTCCCCTGCCCTCTCCTCTGAGGAGCCGACCAGAGGATGGGCAGCCCTCCAGCCAAGCACCCCAGGGGACGAGCCTCACTGTCCCCTGCCCTCTCCTCTGAGGAGCCGACCAGAGGATGGGCAGCCCTCCAGCCAAGCACCCCAAGGGACGAGCGCCGGCGTTCCGCTCAGCAAAACGATTAGCACAGCTATTACCGGCACAAACATACAAGCTTAAACACAGATTAAAGTTAAAACGCTATCACCACACACTATCACCACAGTTGAGTACCCGGCAGTTAAAACACTATCACCACAGTGGAGTAGCCGGCGGTTCAAACACTATCACCACGGTGGAGTAGCCGGCAGCTCAAACACTATTCCCACAGTGGAGTAGCCGGCAGTTCAAACACTATCCCCACGGTGGAGTAGCCGGCAGTTCAAACACTATCCCCACAGTGGAGTAGCCGGCAAAGCAGGGCGCACGGCTGTCCTCGCCGACGGCAGCGCCGCGCCTGGTGCGGAGCCAGACTGGCACATGGCGTCCGGCTCCGATAAAGGAGGCCGAGCTGCGGCCTGCTGCAAAGGTGGCGCCATCGCCGCTTTTGTACATGACACTGTAGTCAACCCTGTGCCGCATATGCCGCGGCTGAAGGCGCGGGTGGCACCTCCGTCGCCCTCCCGCTCTATAGCGCATGCGACACTAGGGCTAGCAGTCGACCGTATCGGCGCCGACGATCCACACTTGTACACCCATGCACGAATTTTGTCGCCGTCCCCGTACCTGACTTCAGCGCGGTTGAAGCCAAGCACGGGTACATCCTGACATATTATCAGCCGCGCAGCAAACAGCGCAATTGGCGAGAGGGACGTCACGGGCGGGTGCCCCCCCCCCCCCCCCCCGGCCAGATCCGGAGGCGCCCTGTGACGAAGAAGCGGGACACAACCTGAAGCTAGCTTCCGTACCTGCTACCTGGTACGAACCACGATGCCTGATACAAAATGCAAACTACGATACCTGATGTCTGATAGAGTTGTGCTACCACAGCAAACAATAAGTGCGCAGGTGTTCACTACTTGCCGCTTTGTTGGACTGCAAAAGCATTGACACTACGATTTGAACCGGACCCAAGCTGTGAAGTGTGAACGGCCCGGAAAAGTTGTGTACACGCCTCTGCGCTGCCGTCGCGCTGAATGCCATGGGCCAGTGCCAAAACTCAGCACAAGAAGGGTCCTGTCCTGTGACCGGTCACTCGTCAGTGGAGCAGTGTCATGTGACCCGTCACTCGTCAGGGGAGCAGTGTCCTGTGACCCGTCGGTCGTCAGGGGAGCAGTGTCCTGTGACCCGTCGGTCGTCAGGGGAGCAGTGTCCTGTGACCCGTCACTCGTCAGGGGAGCAGTGTCCTGTGATCCGCCACTCGTCAGGGGAGCAGTGTCCTGTGACCCGTCACTCGTCAGGGGAGCAGTGTCCTGTGATCCGTCACTCGTCAGGGGAGCAGTGTCCCGTGACCCGTCACTCGTCAGGGGAGCAGTGTCCTGTGATCCGTCACTCGTCAGGGGAGCAGTGTCCTGTGACCCGTCATTCGTCAGGGGAGCAGTGTCCTGTGACCCGTCACTCGTCAGGGGAGCAGTGTCCTGTGACCCGTCACTCGTCAGGGGAGCAGTGTCCTGTGATCCGTCACTCGTCAGGGGAGCAGTGTCCTGTGACCCGTCATTCGTCAGGGGAGCAGTGTCCTGTGACCCGTCACTCGTCAGGGGAGCAGTGTCCTGTGATCCGTCACTCGTCAGGGGAGCAGTGTCCTGTGACCCGTCATTCGTCAGGGGAGCAGTGTCCTGTGACCCGTCGGTCGTCAGGGGAGCAGTGTCCTGTGATCCGCCACTCGTCAGGGGAGCAGTGTCCTGTGATCCGCCACTCGTCAGGGGAGCAGTGTCCTGTGATCCGTCACTCGTCAGTGGAGCAGTGTCCTGTGATCCGCCACTCGTCAGGGGAGCAGTGTCCTGTGATCCGTCACTCGTCAGTGGAGCTGTGTCCTGTGATCCGTCACTCGTCAGGGGAGCAGTGTCCTGTGATCCGTCACTCGTCAGTGGAGCAGTGTCCTGTGATCCGCCACTCGTCAGGGGAGCAGTGTCCTGTGATCCGTCACTCGTCAGTGGAGCAGTGTCCTGTGATCCGCCACTCGTCAGGGGAGCAGTGTCCTGTGATCCGTCACTCGTCAGTGGAGCTGTGTCCTGTGATCCGCCACTCGTCAGGGGAGCAGTGTCCTGTGATCCGCCACTCGTCAGTGGAGCAGTGTCCTGTGATCCGCCACTCGTCAGGGGAGCTGTGTCCTGTGATCCGCCACTCGTCAGTGGAGCAGTGTCCTGTGATCCGTCACTCGTCAGGGGAGCAGTGTCCTGTGATCCGCCACTCGTCAGGGGAGCAGTGTCCTGTGATCCGTCACTCGTCAGGGGAGCAGTGTCCTGTGATCCGTCACTCGTCAAGGGAGCAGTGTCCTGTGATCCGCTACTCGTCAGGGGAGCAGTGTCCTGTGATCCGCCACTCGTCAGGGGAGCAGTTCTTGCAAGCCGGAGTGTGATTTCGGGGTACACAGTGCTGTTCTTGGCCCAATGACTTATGGTGCAAAATTGCACCCGGGCAATGCCAGCGCGTAAATGCGGTGGTCGATGTTCACTGAATTGCACTGACATTGCGGCATAGTCACGCACAAAATAAACGTCTTGGTCAGAGTGCATTGCATACAGAGCAGAACCCGTGAGCGAACGCAAGCCCATACATCCAGGAGTTTCGCACCACCCGGACGGCGGAACAAGTACCTACACAACTAAATCAACCATTCGTCGCTCGCATGAAAGCGGATCGTCTCGGCGATTGGCTGTGCATTCCATTGCGCTGACAAAAGGCCATCAGCTGTCAGAAAAAACACGGTTGTCCGATAACAGACTCTATCACATTTTGTCGATTTCACGATGTCATTGCTATTGTGCACAAGATGCCACTAAGAGAGCACTGTTGGACTGCAATGTAATCACTCCCTTAAGGCAATTGTTGACTGGGGCCGCCTTGCCCGAAGCGTGATGGCCGGAATACGACAGTCTGGGAAAAGGCACTTACAGCCGCGCATGAATCGGCCGTGCCCACACGATGCCATCGGAACACTATCAGGCGGGCATGTAAATCGCTCATCGGACATCAAAATGACATCGGATGTAACCTTTTTGGTTCAAATAAGCAAATGAACGCTCATTGCTGAATGCCATCGGCCTGCCCGTGGCGTGATGGTCAGAATGGTCCAAAGATCAGATCAGATGGTCCAAAGATCGCGGCCGAGCTGGCGGCGGGCATCTTTGGCGTCCCGCCTCTCCGTCCGAGACCACCGTGCGTAACCACAGCCACGGCAGTT